CACTGAATTGGAACACCTTAGAAAGATAGCAAGAACAGCTTTTAATAGAGCGAAACGCACCAAACTCAAAGAGGATTGGGATTCTTATCAATCAAATCTCAGAGAGTTTAAAAAAGTCTGCAGACAAAGACAAAGAGCTGCTTGGAGAACCTTCTGTGAGGAAATCGAAGATTTCCCGCAGGCTTCCGGGCTACAAAAAGCGCTCTCAAAGGACCCACATCGGCATGTCGGCATACTAACGAAGGAAGATGGGAACAAAACTTCCAACCTTCGCGAAAGTGCTGAGGTCCTGATGAAAACACACTTTCCCGGTTCTAGTGTCTCAACAGCACCAAACCGGATGGAAGAAACAATCATACCCTCAACAAACGACTGGCATCTCGCCAGAACAATGATTAATGAGGAAAAGGTAAAATGGGCTATATCGTGCTTCACCCCTTTCAAATCACCAGGGCCTGACGGCATATATCCAGCCCTACTACGGTGGGGACTGGATATCCTTCTGCCGCACCTCGTGGAAATATTCAGAGCCTCTTTGGTTCTGAGATATATTCCTAAGAAGTGGAGAGAGGTACGTGTGGTCTTCATACCAAAACCAGGTAGGATGGACTACACCCTACCAAAGGCTTTCCGACCAATTAGCTTAACATCCTTTCTGTTGAAAACGATGGAGAGGCTATGCGAGAGATACATAAGGGATGAAGTTCTGGTTCATAACCCACTTCACCCAAATCAACATGCATATACTTCGGGAAGATCCACCGATTCTGCACTGCATCATGTAGTGGGAAGAATTGAAAGATCGTTGGATAATAAAGAATCCACCCTAGGTATATTCATAGACATTGAGGGAGCGTTTGATAAAACCACATTCCCAACTATCACCCAACAGCTCAACGTTAGGAATGTTCCCCTGGCCATAAGCAAATGGATATTTAGTATGCTCTCTAGTAGAGCAATAAGCATAAATGTAGAAGACGTTTCTGTTAGAGGCATGGTTACGAGGGGATGTCCACAGGGAGGGGTGCTATCACCACTACTATGGAACATAGTTCTAGACACCCTGGTTGACCAACTCAACAGCAACGGTTTCTACACAATAGCCTATGCAGACGATATTGCTGTCCTGCAAAGCGGTAAGTTTGAGAACACACTATGTGAGAGATCACAAGTTGCTCTTCGACTAATAGAAACATGGTGCAAGGAACACTCACTATCTATAAATCCTAAGAAAACAGAGATGGTCCTTTTTACCAGGAAAAGAAGAATCACGGGCTTAATACACCCAAGGATTCTAAACTACAGTCTAAATTTTTCTGACGAGGTGAAGTACCTTGGTATTACCCTCGACAAGAAATTAACATGGAACTCACACCTAGATGGTAGAGCTAAAAGAGCATATATTGCCTATGAACAGTGTCGACGAACGGTTGGACGCACCTGGGGCCTCACGCCCAGGGTGATCGCCTGGGTCTACACCGCTGTCATTAGGCCAATGCTAACTTACGGAGCTATTGCTTGGGTACCAAAAGTGCTACAGGCAACAGCGATTAACAAACTAAACCATATTCAGCGGATGGCTTGCATAAATATAACAGGTGCCATGAAAACAACACCAACTGCTGCAATGGAGTTGATCATTGGCATCACGCCTCTAGACATATATGTCAAAGAGGTGGCTTTAGTGACAATGATGCGACTGCGCTCAGCTGGTGCAAACCTTGATGTAGGAATGGGACAATTGAGAACTCGTTTCTGGCGGGGAGAGCTGGATGCGTTACCAGTACTACAGGCAGGCTGCGACTCAATTGAACCAAAGTTCGTCTTTAACAAACCCTACAAAATTGAAACAAGACAGTGTACGGAGACAAACGTGGCAAATGCCTATTGCATATACACCGATGGCTCCAAAATTAAAGAAGGCTCAGGATGCGGGATATACTCCAGATCACTGAACCTAAGAATAAAGTGGGGTATGGGCAAAAATGCCAGTGTACTTCAGACAGAACTAACTGGTATTTCCATAGCCGCAAAAGAGATAACCCAAAAAGGTATAGCAGGGAAAACTATAATGATCTGCACAGATAGCAGACAAGCGCTACTAACCTTGAATAGACCACGTGTCACATCAGGTTTAGTAATGGAGTGTCACGAGTCACTAACTCAAGCTTCGGATGGTAATACCATTATCCTGAAGTGGGTTAAAGGACACAATAGGAATAAAGGCAACCGCATTTCTGACCAATTATCTAGGAAGGCGGCAGGCCTAAGACTCCTAGGACCTGGGGATCTTTTTGGTTGGTCAACTACAACAATCGCGGAAATTGTCAAATGTCACTCCCATACGCAAACCGTAAAAAGATGGGAAGAAGGGAAAGGATGTAGACTTGCCAGGTTAACACTAAGTAACCTTGAAGAGTCAACATCAAAGAAGTACTTGGGAATGACCAGGAAAAATCTACGTTTGGCAGTTGGTTTTTTAACTGGTCATTGTCAACTAAGCAAACACCTCCACACACTGGGGCTAGTAGACACACCTCTATGTAGGAAGTGTGAACGAGAAGACGAAACTGTAGAGCATGTCCTATGTGAATGCCCAGAGTTATCGTTAATACGAGAGTACGCGTTCGGCGAGTCCTGGCCTACACCTGCCCACATAAGTGAGATGTCTCCTGGTGACTTGTCCACCTTCCTAGAAATGGCAGGATGGACAATGAGCTAAGGGTGACAGCTCCCTGGGAGGATGCACAATGGGTCAATTGTGGCCTAAGTGCTGTGAAACTTAACTCGCCCTCCCTACTCTACAGATACAGATATTCAAAACATCGAACGTGTATTCAAAACATAAACGCTTGTAGTCGTGGTTCCACACTAGCTGTCCCGAGAAACAAGTCACAACGGTGCACCCGGGACGTATTCTTTGCGAACAAACCTTCGGGCACACATTCGTAGTCTGGAAAATATATTAAAAAAAAGAGAAGAAAACGATACAATAGTCCCTTATCCCGTCTCGCAGTCAGTGTTTATGTCTCCTGAAAATGTAGACACCTTCTGATTTTTAGTATCCTTAAGTCGGTCTCCATCTCCATTTCCATCTAATCACCTAATTCGCGGTCGGCCTCTGCTTCTTGTTCATAAAGATGTTCCTGTCGTTATCTTTCTAGCAATCATGTTGTCAGGCATTCGTAGTATGTGTCCAGCCTATCTAACTCGTTATGTTTTACTGAACTTTACGATATCTGGTTCATTAAAGAGTTGGTATACAGCATATGAAGATAATAGATGAATTAAAAAACATTAATTTAGACAAAAAAGATATTGAGTTTATTAAGGCTATATATTGGAGCCAGAAAGCAGTAGGAAAGGTGAACGATATAGAAACAAATAATATACCGATTGCGAGAGGGGTCAGGCAAGGATGCGTCTTGTCTCCGACGCTTTTCAACGTGCACTCACAGGTCATCTTCAGAAAAGCCTTATGGGAAAGAAAAGAGGGAATAAGAACTGGTGGAGAAATCGTAAACACCATGAGATTTGCAGATGGCACGTTAATTATGGCTGAGAGTAATGGTTTTAATGCGCAGATTATCAACATTAAATCTGTCTTGTATCATATGTTTATCCTTCTGTAAGTTTGACATTCTTTCTCTGGTTTTTGGCCATTACAAGAAAGTGAACACTATCTATGTTTGTCCCTCGGTAGCTTCTGTTGTCCATGAGATCAAAAGAATGCCTTGTATCTATCTGATTAGCGATTTCGTTGTCATGAAATTTCCATGTTACTTTGTGTATCATTTTATGACGAAATCTGGTTTCTCCTACTATCATGTTTTTGGTGCTTGCAAAGTTTAATAGTATTAACTCGTTATCATTTGACTCTTCATGTAAGCTCTCCCATCCTATAGTTGGCTAGAAAAATTGCTCTTTGCCAATTTTTGCATTAAGGTCCCCAGAAATTATGTTCACATCATGACGTGGATATCGATTACATTGTTTGTCTGAGGAGTCGTAGAATTCATCTTTTTCGTCGTCTTTCTTTTCTTCCGTAGGTGCGTGTACACTAAGTAATCTATAGTTAAGCAATTTTTTAAATTTTAAGTTAAGATTTAAATTTAAGGACTAACTGCTTTGCTTTTTTACTGACTAGAAAACCACTGCCAAACTCGTGTCGGGTGCTATGTTCGCTATAGTATATATTGTAGTCTTTTCTCATGATAATTCCTGAACCACTAGATCTCATCTCCTGAATCGCTATTATATCGGCTTTTATTTTATCCAGTTCTTGTGTTAAAAATTTAAGAGTGCCTAGGGCATAGAGGGTGCGTACTTTTTACGTAAATCGTTATTTCTTTGTCGTTTGCTAGGTCGTTGTGAATAAAACAGCCCAGCTTTTCTTCTTGTGTGCTTCCATAACAATAAGTTTTTTTAAGGGAAAATGTCGTTAGCCTTTTGCCCAACTCTCTAATCTTCGAAGGACCATTTTTCCCGCTCTCGTTTGTCCTGATTTTGCTTCCCGCTGTGGTTGGTTACCACAATCTACCAGAGAGTTGCTCAGTTTACCGGGCTTTAAAACATGGAGGAATTGAGTAGGAGAGACTATGTTAATTTTACTGATTCGTATACTTTCTTTGCAGCTTATATTATCATCCGTTGCATTTTACCCTTGCTTATATTTTACCTGCTTATTGCGGGTTTTATTTCTACTTTTATATAATACTTTTTATACTTTTTATATAATATAACACTTTTCTCTGAGCTTTTTTTTATACAACTATTTTATATTCTGGTCTTCAAAAGACTCTTAGATAATTATTTTTTAGAATATTTGGTCTTGGATAAATCGGTATTTTATATTTATTATGCCGTGATTTAATACTATTGCGTTAAGATGTTTAAGTTGTTCCACTTTTTCTTTTTTACTTAATCTGTGTATCATCAAAATATAATATATTATATTTATCTTATGTCGAAGGCAACCTTGATTGTCACTGACACTTCTAATTAAAACGAAAAATTTTAGTTGTCATTACACGATTACATTTCAAAATTATTTCTTATAGTCCCCCAAAATTATTAAGTTACCATGAACATCGCTATAAATGGCTTCGGCAGAATAGGACGCATGATCCTGCGAGCTGCGATAGAAAACGATGCTGAAATTAATATTATCAACGATCCCGCCCTGCTAAGTTCGGCATATGCTGCGTATCTCTTCAAGCATGATTCGTCACAAGGGCGGTATTTTGGAAAAGTTTGTTACGACGAAAAACATCTAATAGTTAATAGAATGAAGATAAGGCTTTTCCATGAAAAAGATCCAAAACAGGTTTGTTCATTCTATTAAGTTCGTTAGTAACCAACTGCGGTACTTTAATTTGAAAATTAAAAAAAGGCTATTTATATTAGATAGTTTTGAACATTAAATCAATTTTTTTTTGGTTTTTGGAATGCAAAATTATGGATAACTATTTTATTACTATATATATGTTATTTCGCCAGTTAGCTCTATCCATTACCAACGATTGTCAGTTTGCAGCACCAATTTTTTTAGCATTTTTGTATAAATCATCCTTCCATCTAATCTTCGTCTATTTGCCACAGACTGTAACCAGGATTTTCTAGGAGAAATATTCTGCTGCCATAGATGATAGATGTCCTGCCTATCTTGTTCTTCCTATTGTTATAAGAGATATTACGTCTTCTGCACCAGATATTTGTTGGTGTTTTTAGTATCTCACAGTTGTACCTCCTCCTTTAAATACGTTTTCACAGATGTCACCGAATATTCCTCTCAAAATTATTCGTTCATACATGAGCAAGAGGTTTTCGTCTGCCTCGGAGATGGTACATGTTTTCGATCCATACGTCAGGACTATGAGGTTTTTTTATATTGTTATTTTTATTTTATGGCTTGAGTTTCTACTTTTCATGTGTTTACGCAACAAAAAATAGCAGTTGTTTGCCATAATTATTCTCCGTTTGATTTCTTCCGCTATGGAGTTGTTACTGTGAATCAGGGAACTTAACTATGTGAATTTGTCCACTACTTCAAAGCTTGAGTTATTAACTGTGAATTGGGTAAAGTGGCTTTGTTATTGGATGTTCATGCCACCATTTTATTTTTTCTATTTATTTGTAAGCCCATATTTTGTAAGGCATTTGAGATTTACATTTCTTCTAGATTCTCTGACGTACGAGCAATTAAGTAGGTCTGGATAATTTGCATAGGCCATAATTTGTGAGAATTTGTAAAAAGCATTTTCTCTATTTTAAAGACAGTGTTTCAAACGCTTGTGAGTCTTCACCCTGAATTTCCACTTTGCAAGCAACTTTACGCATTGTAGTCATTATCAGTCTTATTAGTTTATCGGGAATGTAGAATTTGTCGGTGGCTTTATACAGTTTACTTCGTAGTACAGTAGCATCTTCTTCTTTTTGTTCCATGCTTGTATTCAATCGTTGGCTATCGTCGTAATAACAAGCTGATAATGATGCTCTTGGTCGGTAGCTAATTCCTCGACCTCGTTCCTGTCCCTTGTCTAATGGTACGCAGCCAGGGCAGTTGTTTTCTTCCTACCCAGCGTTTTTCTTTGATTTTTCCTCTTTTGCATGGTCTTTAGCACACGTTCGTTATATATGTGTGCTGTCCATGGGATTTTGAGCATGCGACGGTAATACCACAACTCGAACGCTTCTAATTTATTAATATTTTTTAAATTTTGTTGTTCAGGTTTCACATCCATAGAACAAAGTGGACCAGACGCAGCACTTCAATACTCTTGGATGTGTAGTCAATGACAGACTTCTACTGCACTATACGAAATGCCAGTTATTAAAGCTTTTATGTGCAAGTTCTATTCTGGTCGAAATTTCCTCGTTACTTTCAACCCTGCAGTCAATCCAACTACCCAGATATCTAAAGTGTTTCACTTCCATATTCGGGAACCCTATGTCAGCTTGACCGGTCTGGTGGATGGGTACCAAAAATGTTGCCACTTACGATCTAATTCCTTGCAGTAATGCAAGATATAGTTGATATAACAAGACTGTTTCAGGTTCTCTGCCACAGAGTCTGCAGCTTGAGTTTCCATGACATAGTTTCATTGTGTGCAGGTGATTCTCGACTATAGGATGTCCAGAAAAGAAGCCTGTTATGGTTCTAAGCTAATTTCTACTTATTTTCGCAATAACTCACCCCTTTTAGCACATATTCGTCTAATATACATTTTGCCATGTGTTTGACCGGGTATGTTTTCTCAGTGCATTATGTTGACTTTGGATTCAGACTTCTTTCCAGTTGCGGGCAATGCCTTTTGGTTATCTTAAAGGCTGGCACTGGACTGAAGTATTTTGTATCTGATGCTCTTCTAGCAAGAGTGCATCAGCTTTTTCATTGCCATATATTACCTTTTTAATAGACAAAATTATAATACAGACTCTAAAGAAGTATAATTCTTTTTCTTTAAGTTCCATCTTCTATCGAAGGTTGGAAATCATCATGGCTATGCGGACTCTGTTGACTGCCGCTCTAAAAAGTTCTGCACTACTGCATTCAAACCATTCCCTTAAGTTCTTAAGCCAGGATATTCTTCGTCTTCCCAGATTTCGCTTTCCTCGGATTTTGCCCTGCATAATAAGTTGTAATAATACCGTACGTATTTTTGCCCCCTCATCACATGTCCCAAGTACTCAAGTTTTCGTCTTTTAATAGTTAATATTATTTCCGCCTCATTTCCTATCCTTCTAGTTACTTCCATGTTTGACATTCTTTGAGTCCATGATATTCGTAGGATTCTTCTGTAACACCAAAATTCAAAGGCGGCCAACTTATTCAGATGAACTTGTTTTAGTGTCCAAGCTTCCAAACCATAAAGAAGAGTAGAGAACACGTAACATCGAAGCATTCTCAGACGTAGTTCTAACCTTATATCCCGACAACAAAGAAACTTTTTAAGTTTAATAAATGATGTACGTGCTATTTCAATACGTGTCTTAATTTCTTTGGTTTGGTCTACATCTGATGTTATCCATGTTCCTAAGTATTTATAGTTATTAACACTCTCAATTGCAGTATCTTCAATAGTCAATTGGATATTTGCATGTGCAGATTTAGTCATGATCATGCATTTAGTTTTCTTCAAATTTATCTTCAGTCCGTACTCATGACAGCGTTCATTAAGTCGTTGTATTACGTTCTGTAAATCATTGTTGTTATCCGTAATTATTACTGTATCGTCTGCAAAACGTAAGTTATTCATAACTTCTCCATTGATAGATATACCTTCTATTGAGTCTAAGAGCGCTTTTTGAAATACCGCTTCACTGTAGACATTGAAAAGTAGTGGGGACAGCACGCAACCCTGGCGGACTCCTCTCTGTATTTTGATATTTTCGGTTTACTGGCTGTCAACTCTTACCTTGGCAGTTTGATCCCAATATAAATTATATATAATTTTCAGATCACGACTGTCAATATTTTTGCTTTTTAATATATCTACAAGCTTTTTATGTTGAACTTTATCAAAGAAGTATAATAGAACATATTTATAACAAAAAAAAAAAAAAAATTTCTTTAGTACAAGTTAGACATATTGGTTTTCTATGTTCGGTAAACGGGCAAGCTTTGCAGTGGTCTCACATGTCTCTACCTTTTCTGTTGGCAGCTCGAGGGCAAACTTGATATGTTTTGTGAGTTGGAGTTTAAGTTTCTTGATTTCTAAGTACCTCCTTGGCCACTTGATTCAAAATCATGGAGCGCAAAAATCTGGACAAATTTGGTATTTCTAATCTCTTTTTTAGTTGACGAGTCACCAACTGTAGTGCTACCTGGGAAAATCTTTTCTTAGAGTAATTTTTAAATTTGAATCTGATTTGTTCTATTTGCGCTATGAATAACATAAGCATTAATACCTGTACCATCAAGCATGCCATAAAAAACTCTTAAGGGGCCACCGATACAAATAATCATAAGTGTCTACTTCTCCTTTTGTGGAGTTATAAATTAAAACAATCTCAGGCTTGCTAGTCTCTTCACAAAGTACACCGTAAGTATCAAATTTTGACAGCAACAGAATAGTTAAGTCAGAACTTAATAAATTTTTTTTTTAAATTTTGACGTAGGTAATATCAGCCTTGTTTTTTCTTAAGGTCTCAACCATTGTTAACGTTATTTGTAAAAGCATTTCTGCAAGATCTGAGGACGAAAACTATACATGGTGATATTTTTGTTGGTTCCATAGAGATTTTTGCATAGAAGAACGTATTGTGTGGGCAAAGCTTCTGATGCATCTCTTGTCTCTTTTCCCACATTATGGTATGGCAGAACACAAACAAGTATAACTTTTATTCCATATTTGTCGGGTTTATTTGGAATATAAACTTTAAAAGGACATCTGCTCCGAAAATCTGTTTAAATGTTCATTAATTGTCACATATACGATAGGAGTGTAATAAGCTACAACATTTTCAATAAATTCATTCCAAAGAAATCTTATAGGTGCAAATTTATCATCATGTTTCCTTTTGCCTCTAGTTGTTGTGTCATCAAAACAAAGAAAATTAACAAAAAATTGAAAGGGTTTTTTTAGACATTGCTGCTCTAAAAATGGGCATACCAAATTGTTTTAACCATAATTCCTAGGTACTCAGGTGGCTAGTTTTTAGAACATTACTCATATATAAAAGACTGAATAATACCAAAATCTCTTCTTTGCGCGTAGCAGTTATAAAACTTGGAGTTCAACTAAATTTAGTAGGTTGAGATTTCTTGGTTTGTGTATTGAGTTATATATTAGAGACGCTGAAAAAGAGTTTACAAGCCAAAACCTCTTCTGGTGTATTTGAAGCGTAAGCCTTTGGTCCTGTAAAAAGTCCTGTAAAGTAGACGATGTAATATGTTTTTTAATCTGTGTGAGAGTTGTTTGAGAAAAACGGAGTTTAAAACCATTTAAAACCATTTTTTCCATATATTACTTTTATTCTTTGCTCGCTATTGCTCTGCGAATCTTCACTCTCCTCTTCACTAACTTCTAGTTCTGATAAAATGGTATCAGAATGATCACTTTCACTAATCTCTTTATCTCCATCCTCACTCAAACACTCATATTCTGTATTGACATCTTCATCACTCTCACCAGTCTCATAAGCATGCACAATTTCTTCTAACTCAGCCGGAGTCAACGCTTTGCTTGTTGAAGTCATTTGCTTCTATATTCGAAATTATATCGGAAATGGTACTGTGGTGTCGTATGTGACATCGATAAAAATTTGAAAATACCTATTACCGCCTGATAAATAGGCACAGCTAAAGTTGATTTGAAACTAAAACACAGTACACGCTCACTGTAAAAAAGATTTAAAGGTACTGAGAAGTGAGAATCTAGACCACCCCTCTCTAGAAATGTGCCGACTGCATCGAATTAAAACTGCGCAGTGTCGCCGGCGACACCAGTGTACCATTCTAGGATTAATATGCATTATTTTTGCCATTGTCCCAATAACAAGAATTCTATAAGAGTCACTGATGGTTCTTGTTATAACTTATCTGCTATTATTACTGTTTTATGTGTTTTTTTATTAATAAAGCTTCTGCCCTATTCTGTTTTAATATTATTTTTGTATATTCTATTTTGCAGGTACCGTGGAAAGACTGTAGTGGAGATTGGGTGATAGATTGTTCAGGAAAAAATAGAACATGTGAGCAAGCACAAAAATTCATAGATGCTGGTGCTACAAAAGTTGTGATTAGCGCGCCCTCGGACGATGCTCCCATGTATATTGTTGGTGTGAATTTAGACAAGTTCGACCACAACGATAAGGTAATAAATAATATATTAATATTTTGAGGTTTTGTTATTTTTCCTTATTTTTTCACTTAGGCCTAACAATTTTTTGATTCTGTAAAGAAATGGTATGCGTCCATTACAGCCAAAAAACAAGCGATAATTTTTAATGAAACTGGGTTCATTGTGCAACAGTAGAACCAAAGCAACATACGAGAATACGTACACGGAATTTAAATCAAATTCTAAACAAATAGGCCTGTCTAGTAAACGCCGATTGGAGAGAGTAACACGATCCTACTTGACAATTTAGAACTTAGAAAACGTAACTTTATCTATTTAGGAGTCACCATCACAAATGACAACATTAACGATGTAGGGCTTAGCAGAAGAATCATTGTAGCTATAATACGACATACTTTGCTATAAACCCGATATTTAAATCACAAGACGTAGAGAAAAGGACTAAGATAAGAATCTACAAGACCATAATCCGATCGATAGTGAGCTATCGATGTGAAACTTGGATATTGGCTCAAAAATATGTAAACCGAATGGCCATCTTTGAAAGAAAGGTACTGAGACGAATATTATGCCCTAGAAATGACAACCACAGGTGGAGAATCAAATACAATTATGATATATCATCATCATCATCATCAACTAGCCTCTAAGTCCACTGCTGAACGTAGGCCTCTCGCATGCTTTTCCACTTAATCCAATTTTGCGCCATCTGAATCCAATTTGTAGTCACTCTTTTTATGTCATCTGTTCATCTTGTTGGGTGTCGACCTCTATTTCTGTTAACTTGTATTCGGGATTTCCATTCCAAAATTCTTTTTGTCTACCGGTCATCACCTGATCTTGCTACATGACCTGCCCAGTTCCACTTTAGTGTTGTTATCCTTTAAATAACGTCTGCTACTCCTAATCTTTTGCGTATAGTAGCATTGGGTATTCTATCACGTAGAGAAATCCCTAACATTATTCTCTCCATTGCCCTTTCCGCAACTTGTAGTTTACCCACTGTTGTTCTTGTGAGTGTTAGGGTTTCTGCGCCGTAGGTCATCACTGGCAAAATACACTGATTAAATACTTTTCTTTTCAGACACATTGGAATCTAAAGGGCGAGCGCCCACCAAAGTGGCGTGGCAGTGGCAAGTAGCAAGTAGCACGCGTCTAGCATAATGTAACCAATCCTAACGAATGATTAGAATGAATGACGTTACTGTCATTTTGGGGTAAACTGAATCATTCGTTTTCATTGGTTACATTATGCTAGACGCGTGCTACTTGCTACTTGCCACTGCCACGCCACTTTGGTGGGCGCTCGCCCTTAGACCTAAAAATATCCTTCATCTTTCCAAATGCAGCCCAAGCGAGGTTTATTCTTCTTTTCTTCTCGATTGTTTGGTTGTCTCGACTTATTCTGATCTCATGGCCCAAGTATTTATAGAAGTTAACTGGCTCAATATCTTTGTCTTCTACTGAGATGTTTTTGTTGTGGACTAAATTTGTCATAAATTGTGTTTTTGAAAAGGTTATTTTAAGACCAACTCTTTCTGTGGTAGTATGGAGTTTTTGGAGCATTATCTGTGCCTGATCAAAGTTGTCTGCAATAAACACGATATCATATGCAAATGTAAGGTTATTTAAAAATTTTCCATCTACATTGATGCTCTTTTCGTTCCAATCTATTGTTTTACAAGCGTATTCTAGCAAAGTTGTAAATAATTTATTAGACATATTGTCTCCTTGCCGAACGCCTCTTTTAATACGATATATAAATATGTATATATATATATATACATATATATACATATATATACATATAATATATATATATATATATATATATATATATATATATATATATATATATATGTATATATTATGATAAGGAAATAATAGAAATTTTATCTCTCCACTACGATTTTCGTTATATAACTTTAATATTTTTTTTTAAAATCCGAGTTACCAACAGTGCGAAAATTATCATTGACTATTTTGAAATGATTTATATTTCTGTCATTCTCATCGTATATATATATATATATATATATATATATACATATATATATATATATATATATATATATATATATATATATATATATATATATATATATATATATATATATATATATATATATATATATGTATATATTATGATAAGGAAATAATAGAAATTTTAAATTATAACACCCTCATCCCAGCACCCTAAACCAAACGTATCTGAAATAATATACCCCAATAAGAGATAACGAAAATACCTTCGTTGAACCGAAGCCACGAAGCAAAAAACCAAAACTCAACAGAAACCTAGTAGAAGATCTTACCAATTGCACCAGTCAATTCTTCAAAGAAAACTCCCACAATGAATACTTTACACAAGGAAGAACTTATTTACTTCTTTGAAAATGCGCATGGTTCTTCAGATCCTCTGTGTCGCCAGAACTTACTCGGAGGATATCGAAGGATTGATAGACTTTCTAAAGAACATACATCCTATGTTAAGTCCAAGATATCTTAAATCCTGTTGTTATATAATTAAAAACAAAATTACAAAACAAATTTGTAAGTAATATTTCTAGCAATGATCCTAGCGATTCCTCTACGGCGACTCATTAATTATACTATCTTCAATTCAATTATTCAATGGAACCTAAATGGGTACCATACCCATTTAGAAGATCTTAAAATTCTTGAGATGTCTCAAATTCTAACCATAGATCCATATAACAAACTACCCTACCATGGAGGCTACCTATGAAAAGAAGAGATCAAGTTATCATCTTCAGACTAGGATTAGCCCACACGATTTCCTACTACAGAAGCAACCCAAACCTTTGTGTTACGCGTGTGATAGTGATCTAACAGTACATCACTTATTAGTGGAGTGTTCGTTGTAGACATTTGAAATACAACATGAATCAAAGACATTCTAAGTAAACATAGTGACCACAATCGTACCATAATTTTTTGGTTTCCTCAGGACTAATTAACAAAATTGTTTTTTTTTTTATATTTATGTTATCTGTAAAATTGACCATTGCTACTAACCCTTTTGGTTGACGCAGTCTCAAATAAAAAAAAATTAAAACACAAACATTCCCTATAATTCAATTTGTCTCAGACTGTACTTTCGTGGCTCAGTATCTTTATTTTTGTATTTCATCAATGTCATGTATTAATGTAAAATACCTGCTTATAAAAACATAAAATTTTTTAACACAACAGAATCATACCATAAATTGTTAACATCTAAAACACACAAATCATATTCACCTAAGATGTTCTCCGTAACAATTATTAAGAAAATTGTTTCTATTTAGTTACCCATAAAATATTTTCAGTCACGGAGAAGACCAGGCAGGTTTCACAGCGGGGAAAGCATGCTTAGATCACATTTGCACGGTCGAACAACTAATAGAAAAAAAGAATGGCCAAAATAGAGCCGTCCATCTGGCATTTGTTGATCTTAAGAAGGCATATGACTCAATACCTAGAATCAAGCTATGAGAAGCAATGGAAAACATCGAAGTTCCACGAAGATTAATAAACGCGGTAAAAGCACTCTACAAGAATAACGAAGTAGCTATCAAAACGGGCAATAGAATATGCAGTCCATTTAAAACGACAAAGGGACTACAGGGTTTCTCCACATCCCCCACCCTGTTCAAAATATTCCTGGAAAAAACCCTGAAACCATGGAAAAGAAAGTGCGAAGGAATGGGTATACCAGTAAGGAACGAATATCTATATACGCTAAGTTTTTCTGATGACCAAATAGTGATCGCACAAGACGAGGATGACCTCAGTTTTATGATGAGAAAACTGGAACAGGAATATACAAAGAATGGGATGGAAATAAACCTAAAGAAAACTGAATACCTAACAACGGAGAATACAGAAATAAAACAGCTCGAAATAGACGAAGGTAAACAAATCAAAGGAACAGACAAGTATAAATATTTAGGTTTCATTATATCAAACAAAGGAACAACGGAGGAAGATATAAAAAATAGGACAAAAGACTAGGACAAACAAGAGACTGCATACGAAAATTGAATCCGGTACTATGGGATAAGAACATCAGCATGAAAACAAAGAAAAAATTATATAATACCATGACAAGAAGCATCCTCACTTATGGGTGTAAAAATTGGACAATAAATAAGAAAACCAAAAACAAAATAAGAGCAACAGAGATGGAATTCCTAAGGAGCAGCTGCAGAGTAACAAGAAGAGATAGAATAAGTAACATGGAGATTAAGAGGAGAATGGGAATGAACTGCGACATAATAGACTACATCGAACAGAAGAGGTTAACCTGGTACGGACATGTCAGAAGAGCAGACCAAAATCGATGGATAAATAGAATAACAGAGTGAAGCTCGATAGGAAGAATAGATGCAGACCCCGAAGATCTTTCAGAGATGAAGTGGACGAAGCAATGAGAAGAAGAAACCTACAGGAAGGGGACTGGCTAAACAGGAAAAATTCTAGAAAACGGTTGAGTGAAGAAATACAGTGAAAACTGTGGAAATCCTTGTATATATATATATATATATATATATATATATATATATATATATATATATATATATAAAATATTTTTAATCTACTCTAAAATATATATAATATAATACTCTATGAATATCTATGGAAAATTAAAAAAAAAAAAATTATAAATTGGAACTTCTTCTTCTGTGCTACCCACTACTTCGAATTCAGCTCTCCTATTTTTGTTTTTCCTTATGAAGCTTATACTTTTATAAGGATTCCCTATAGCTAAATACAGTGTGTTTTGATTTATTTCGATTTTACTAAAAATGTAAAATTAAAAAGAAAAAAAAAAAAATAAATATTTACGAAACTAAAAATCGGAGAAAATTTTTTTTTTTTTGTCATAATAGACTATTTGAAATATTTAAGAAAATATTTAGCATCACAAATTTTTTACCGCTTGGTCAAACTATTAGTTTTTTCTAAAACCTTACATTCTTAGAAAAATCGAAATAAATCATCCGTATTTATTATAGGTATAGGAAAAGGTCAGCTTATTTTTTAAGGACCATTGGATTTCACCAGGTATTTGGAGGTGAATTTTAATCTTCCAATCTGTAATACTTCTACCTGTAATACTTCTACCTGTCCAAAAATGTATTATCATATCATATATTATCATCGATTTTATATATTCTTAATATATCTACCAGCCATTCATGCGACACTGAGTCAAAGGCTTTTTTATAGTCAATACAGTGAAGAGTTTTTTTTATGTTTGCCTGGTAAAAAATGACTGAGTCGATAATAAGTTGTTCTTTGCAACCCATGGAACCCTCAGCGCATTCTGTCTGTTGAGGTTCTATGATATTGTTTAGAGCACAGTGTTGGTAGATACGCTGGGCTACACAGGATATGACCAATTTATACAGAGTTGGAAGACCAGTAATTGGGCGGTACTTGCCTGGATCTTGGGTATTATTTTGATCTTTCAGTATTCCATCTTCTATCCATCGGTATCTTCTATCCATCCAGCATTGGTGATAAGAGCAGCTGGTGTGGAAAGTTGATTTCACCAAAATTCCTGAATTTCTTCTTGGCTTGGGTATGATTTATTGGTACTTTCTACAGTGGAATTAAGTTTCCGATAGAACGCTTTCTCCGCATGCTCAAAGAGTGCATTGTCACAGTTCAGTGCTGTTGTACCTCCTTAGTCATACTGAATAAATGGAGAGTTTTTGTTTTAATCTATCTAGACACTGTTCGGAAGTGTTCATCTATATACCATTTTTGGTTTTTAGTTTTGCGAGACATGCCATTAATTTTTACATACTATATATATATATATATATATATATATATATATATATATATATATATATATATATTGTTATGATTTGTTGTTGTTGTATGAGCAATGAGTAAATTTGAATGATATATATGTATGTATAGGGTTTTTATCGCGGTTCTCAAAGAATTAGTTTGTAAGTACTTTTTTAAATTATCTTTATTATAAATATTATGAAACAAACCTATCTATCTAATATAAGCAATATCAATTTAACACAATCTATCTAAAATTTGAAATTCTTACAATTATTAAATTATTAACAAAATTTGGTACCTTCTTTCACTAAACGCCTAAAGTTTTTCCAAAATTAAAGTTATTATCACCACTCGATATCTTCTTACTAAGCCTTGGTTATCCAACTATTTTAATATGTTCCTTATTAATTATCTCCACTCACCATATAAATATATATTTAACTCCTTGTAATAACTCCTTCTATATACTTAATGTACTTTGAAATATACTGGATCTTGTGGTTGTATTATTGAATGCTTATTTCAATGAATTAACTTCAAACTGTCACTATATTACTGTAGTCATAATTAATCTCCAACTGTATTTAACTTAACAATTCATTTAACTTAATCAATGCCTTCTGCTAGCTAAGAATCTCTTCATAAACTCATAAACAACTGATTTAATAATCCTTAAATTGTTATAACTAACTCCTCAATAATAATCTTGTAACTGGTTTAACTTCTTCTAACTAACTCACTTAACTCAATTAATAATCTTCTTGTTACTAAATTCTTGAATTATAACTTTACTGTAAATGACTGATTGATAACTGAACTCTAACTTTAACTGACCTGAACTAAACTCTAACTCAAACTGACTGACTGACTACTGACTGACTCAACTATAACTGCTCAATGACTCGAATTACATGGCTTTTTATATTTTTTCATTCTTTCCAGAATATTCTAGCAACAAATAATCTTCGAATCCTTCTATTTGTTCTTTATGAACAATCTGGAATAATTTCCTGCCTGTGATGTACTATGTATACAGTCCCATTGACATTTCTATAGTTTTCTATCTATAATTTACTTGACTTTAGGCTCTCCAGATCAGAACTACACTATTATATTTAACTTAAACATTTATATGAACTATATTTTTACAATTTTACATCCACAATTATATTCTAAATTAACATTCCAAAAATAAATAACTATTTGACTTTGACACTACAGTGTATATTTGGTTGCATAGCACATAGCTGAGTAAACATATTAAATATAAAATAAAATAAAATAAAAAAAATTTCTTAAACTTAATTCTTATGCTAAATTCTTAAAAATACCCTCATATAATTATTTTTTTATAATATTATCTAGTATATAACTTACAAATTATGTCTCTAACCACTATTTAAATAAATTTATTGTATATCTGGTTGTATATATTTCTAAATTAATTTATTGTATTTCTGTTTTCATTATAATATATATATATATATATATATATATATATATATATATATATATATATATATATAATTAAGGATCACTCGAAGAGTGGCGGGTTTTTCGGTCAGAAGTTGGAGAAAAAAAAACTCAAAGATGATGGCTACTTCATCTATTATATGATATGATATAAAATCTACTATGATATAAAAATTGTAAAGAAGCTTACGACAATGGACATTGTAAAATTATGTTGTATAAACAATAAATTGAACTAAATATAGTTAACAATTTTCATAAACTTAACACAGCAAAAGATATGTGGTACTTATACAAGTATATACAAATTCATGTAAAAAATTTTTATATTAAAAAATAATTAATGTGTAGAAAAACTAAGAGATCAAAGATGCACTTCCAACAGTAAATCAACAATTAAGATTTTATTTTGACTTTAGGTAGCATTATTTTAATGACTAATTAAGAATTTTAGTAATTTAAAAGTATAATGAAGTTATCTCTCTGAGTTTCTCGACTGCTGCCGTTGAAAACAAAATTTTTATATATGAAGTAGCCATCATCTTTGTCTTTTTTTTTTCTCCAACTTCTGACCGGAAAACCCGCCACTCTTCGAGTGATCCTTAATTTATATTGGATTGACGGTCGTACTCCTTTTCTCTCTCTCTATATATATATATATATATATATATATATATATATATATATATATATATATATATATATATATATATTGTTATGCTATTTAAAGTGTATTCTATTGCTTATTTAGAAAAGATCCTGTCTATATTTATTAAATGATCCTATCTCCAATTAATCACAATAAATCAGCATTAATTAATTACAATCTCAGGCTATTTAACTTGTACTATTTACCTTTGATCGTGGATTCAAAATATTTTCCAATTGGCTTCCTAATTGGGATAGGTAATATGACCTGAATAAAATACACAGAATTTCAACTGAACTATATGTGAGATGTCCTTTATTTTAATGAAATTTTATATAACAATCAATGCTGTAATATTTGCAATATAATACTTTAAATATATGAGAAGTTGTTTTCTATCATGGACCCAAATGTTATTTTACATTGATTTTTAATATGTGTTATAACTAAGCTCTCTTTATAATTTTTTTCTTTAAATGATCGCAAAATTAACTGTCTCTATTATTTATTCAATTTATTTACTTAATAAATGAAAACCACACTCCTGCTCTAATGAAAATTGACTGACCTTTCGTTCTCTGCCGTTGTAATTCTATGGCCACGCCATAAAAAAAAAACCTTTCTCTGCTTCTGCTCCTATTGTGGTCCAGATGACGTACACCTTTCTCCTATCTGTCCTTGTATCTGCAACCCAACAACTCGTGTAATTCTATGCAGCCTCCTTTTGAGCGAATCTCCGCACCTGTTTATAACTTCAAATGTTTCCGGCTTCGTCTGATATTAATATTCTTATACCCTTTGGTTTTTCTATCTCTCTGTACCCCGTTCCTCACACTGATCAGCTTTTACACAGCAAATAAACACACCCGGTAAATTACGTCTTCGGGACTTCACACAAACACAAACCACAAAGCTCCTTCCTTCTTGGGCGACGAAAGCTGACTAACTAACTTTTTTCCTCTCTCCTATCTCATAGCCAAAACCACTACCTCCATTGCATTCAAAAATTGACCAATAAAAATCATCCACCTCTGTGACGTATATCGTTACCAACCAACTCTCTTTATAAAACGTCATTCGGGTAATTCCAGAAAACAACATTCTTTAATTATTCTAACTAAATCTATCTGCTTTACAAATATTTCTTACTAATAGCTACAAACGATACCTGTTTCTCAATTCAATGTCTTTTGTTAATAAACTTTTACCGATATAATCTTTCGGGGAGAAAAACCACCGCAAATCCCGGTCTAGTGTTTAAACACTGTCTATATACACTTTATTTCCGGGAAATCCATGCCACAATAACCGACTTATTTAAATTTCTTATCGATAATATTTGAAAGTCTTGTCTCTGAGGCCTAATGAACAATTCTTCGAACAACTTAAAATACATATTTTGTCTTATACAGGATGTTTGAAAATTTATATGCCCGTGTCTTTATGAAATATCAATAATTTTAATTTTTATTTAAGTAATAAAATTTGTATATCGGTTTTTTATTGCTAATGGACATTCAAAAGTACAACAATATATATATATATATATATATATATATATATATATATAATGCATCAGTATTTGTAATTACTATTTATCTGCTTACAAGATATACAGAATAGAGTAGAAGATACTGCGCTACTTCACCAATGCTATCTAACTAATGATTTATATTTTCTTTTTATGCGTCAATATTTTATTAGGATTTTTTACCTCCATGAACGAAACTGAAAAAATGCAATTTTTATAGATTGTATCGATGGCTTCTTGTACAACTAATTGCTTGGCACCGTTAATGAAAGTTTTGCACGAGAAATTTGGCGTGGAAGAAGCTCTTATGACAACCATACATTCTGTCACGAATAGCCAATTTCTTATCGACGGAGCTAAACCGCACAAATGGAGAATGGGTAGAGGTGGAATTCAGAACATCATACCCGCTACTACAGGCGCAGCAAAAGCTATTGGAAAAATTATACCTGAATTGAATGGAAAAATAACAGGTAAAAATATTAACCTTTTTACATCCTACATATCCAGTTCTACATACGATATACCGAGTGACTTTTTAGTGTGACATAGGTGTATAATTTCATTCTAATTCATAATTAATTTTCTATTCTCCAGGCTTGGATAATATTCTGAATTCTACATAGTGATGAACTACGAGGTTAAACAAACATACAATTTTTTAAATAGAAATTTAAAAATCAAAACAAAACAAAACAAAATTTTTTAAATCTATGATTATAAAACACAATGTAGATAAAGAAGGAATAAATAAATAAGTATTTATTTTATATAACAAAGTAAACAATATGTTCTAGTTTTTAAATTAGGTTAAGTGAGGTGGATAGGCAAAGAAGTACCAACCTTTTGACCACTGCGATTACCGGAATTCTCCAAAATTGATTTTTTCATCTCATTTAAGACCAGAATCCTTCAACAATACCAGATGTAGATATGAACAATAGAATAAGAAAAGCTTTTAATAAGATTGACTTTTAATTACATTTGACTATACTTCAGCAAAGAAATAATGAACTGAGTCTTAGGCGTGATCTCTTAAGTTATCGTATAATTTAGATGTCCCTATGAATTTTACGTGCCAGTAGCGGAGAATTTATTTTTTATTTAGCAGCTCTTTGCTGATGATATCGTGTTAGTAGAGGAGAGCAAAGAAATATTAGAGAAGAAGTTGGATTGTTGGAGAAGGGCTACTGAAGAGGGTGGACTTACTGTTAGTAGGTCAAAAATATGTAATTAGGAGGAAGAGGAATAGTTGAAGACGTAGAATTATTTGGAGAGAAACAAGGACCAGTAGGAGAATTTAAATACTTTGGCTATTACTTAACGAAAAATGGAACACTAGATCGAGAAATTGCCCACAGGATACTGTCTGGTTGGTTTAACTGGAAGCAAATAAGCGGGGTACTTTGTGATAAAAAAATCAGGGAAGGACTGAAAGGAAAGGTATACAAGAGTATGGTGAGACCTGCATTAGTGTATGGCGGTGAAGTGTGGCCTGTAAAGAAGTATCAGGAAAAGAAGATAGAGGTAGCTGAAATAAAATTGTTACGGTGGATGTTAAGTAAGACTACAAGGGACAGTATCAGAAACGACTTGATTACAAAAAGGACTACAATCTTAAAAAATATTCAACAAAGATTGCAATGGTTTTGGCCATATCAGACGTAGAGATGAAAATTACGTGAGACGAAGGATAGAGTGGTTAGAAGTTGATGAAAAGAGAGGTAGAGGAAAACCAAAGAGAAGATAGAAGGACTGTGTGGTAGTGATGGGTAGTTCCGGAACGAACTAGTTCCTGGAACTTGTTCATTTTATATTATAGATGAAATAGTTCCGAAAATTAAATGGAACTAGTTCCGAGGAACTATTAACGTCACCGCTGATCTGATATTTGATACCGTCATTTGTATTTGTGCGAACTGCATCTCTTTTCTTCGATCGACGAAAACGAAAAACGAACTAGTTCCGAGCCGATGAACTAAGATAGTTTCGAGGAACCGTATGATAATCGTGATCGGTTCGGTATGCTATGCTGGATCGTTGGAACTAAATAACAAATCAAGAATCATAGAAAAATAATAGGATTTTGATTTAAAATACAGCAAAATATGTTTAGACAAAGCGAAAAGCCCGGGTTCGTCAGAAAAAATATTCCCATGAGATTTTTTCCTTCATAAACACATTCATGAGATACCTCAGAATAGATTCAAAAGATCGCCTATAAGAAAAATGTAAATTTCAGAAAAATATACGTAATCGTCATTTACGTATTTTCGTTCTCTTAAATAATCTAAATTCAGTCTAAGTACGAAACTACATTAGAAGTTCCTCGTTTACGTATTAGTTCAGTCAAATTATATTTTTGCTAGGAGAGTTTTGGGGTAGTTCTGATTTTTTCATTCCATATGTTTTTGGGGCGCTTAATTCGAATCTGGGGTTTGCGGACAAAATTTCGTAACGCAACATTAAAAAAAATCAGAATAAACCGTTTTTTTTTTCTTTTTTCGAGTTTTTGGCTTAAAACTCGAAAACTATTAACTTTTGGTAAATGGTCTGTTTACAGAAATTAAAATACTTGAAATTTTTTATAAATACCAGTATTTAGTTTTTTTTTTCAGAAGAATCGTTCGGTTTCTAGTGCGAGTTGAAAATTGTAAATTATTAGCAGTTTATGCAAAACCCACTTTTTACATTTCAATATTTAATTTTTATGGATGCTATCATTTGATAAATGTCACCTGGTTTTCCACACAAGTAATTACAAAGAAAAAAGGCAAAAATTATGCAAATTCAGTAGGTAGGTAAAACTCGTAACAAAATAAAACTTAAAATCTCGTTCCTTATGATCATATATTATTATGATTATAAATTATACTATGCAAAATTTATATGAGCCGTTGTCTTTTGAAAGGCCCTGGCTGAGGTTCTTCGATAACGATGAGTCCTGGCTCTGCTTGTTCTGGAAAATAAAAGTTTAATGTTAAGTCATTTATCAAGAAGAGATAAAGATTGCAAAATAGATTGTGAGATAAAACATACCTTCCGCATCGTACTGAGGTTCTTCGATGGCATCGGGTCCTGGCTCAGGGTCTGATTGCTCCATCGTCAGCGTCGGGAGTCGTTCTCCTGGAAAATAAAAAGAGGAGAGACACATATCATATATCAAGGAAAGATGAATGACTACAAAATAAATTGTCAGATCCAACATACCTCTCTCTCTTTCCACAGTTTCTTCTACGTCTATGTCAGAGCTGTCTTCTGGGGGCTCAATATTGTTACACAGTCCTTCGCATATTGCGCATATTGGGGAACAATGAAGTCCCGCCTTCCTGCATCCACAATTGCGTTGACAGCCCTTTTTACATTTACATGAAATGTACCGAAATATTGAGCTTGGTTCAGGGTCCAAAGTAGTTGGTACTGGCACAAGACCACTACTAGTTTTTTGCCATCCCCACTCACTTGGGTCTTTTTGTTGCTCGTTAGGTGTGGCTTGACCGGATAACCACTGCTGCACCTGATAGTAAACTCTCAGTGAATGTTCTCGTGCAGCAGTTTCAGTTGGGGGCAATGAGGAAATGTTGGTCTTATTTTTGAAAAATGAAGATACGTATTGTTTATATCTTAAATCGTTTAGTTTTGTCTCTTTTTTTCCATATATAGCCGTGAGAAACATGTTTCCTGCTGTGGCAATCTCATCTTGACTTGAATTAGGGTCTTTGAAAGCTTCAACTACCGATTGAAAATCTTTGTTCTTCTGCAGGACTTTAAGAAATTTCAGTTTCCCTTGATTAAACAAGGCAGAAGTAGTATCACAACCACTCATCGCATGCAGGAATAAAATATGATCCAATAGGATATTCTCAGCAGCCAGATGAGGGTTGTAGAGTGTAGAGGCTTTGCGAAACCTTTCATTTTCCTTTCTTAAAAAAAATACTTTTTTTATATCAGGGCTATAAAGGCCAATCAAAATGACCAGTAGGTCGATATCTTTCCCCATCACTGTCACACGTTCATTTGACGGGGCCATCTCAAGAGCTATTATGATAAATAGGATAACAGCATCTTCCACAGCTTTTTATAGTGCGCTAGTGTGCTCTACACGTACATACATACTACAACGTCTACAATAGTTTAGCACATTGTTACCGTTTGGAATGTAAAGCGGCTTTAACTGCTTTTTAACTGGGTTATTTTGATTTTTTGCAATCTAGCTATAATATTTGAGTCAAAACGTAAATTATCCGTGTGACTCGGTCTTTATTTTAATTAACTTAAATACTAGGGGAAATTAACTGAAAACCTTTCAATACAAATCTAAAAAGTGGGTTTTGCAGTCACACCGGTACAAATTGACAATTTTCAACTAGCACTTGAGACCGAACGGTTCGTCTGTACAATAACCAAAATAGTGACATTTGTACAGAACTTTAAGCAATTTAATTTCTGTAAACATACCATTTACTAAAAGTTAACAGTTTTCGAGTTTTAAGTAAAAAACCGGAAAAAAGCAAAAAAAAATCGATTTCTTCTGGTTTTTTAAATGTTGCGTCACGAAATTTTGTCCGCAAACCTCAGATTCAGATTTAGCACCCCAAAACACATATGGAATGAAAAAATCAGAACTTCCCCAAAACTTTCCTACTAGTATCACTTTACAGTACAAATTTACTGAATTATATTCAATTTTACAGATCTATTCTGATTTTCTAGTAGGTAGTGTGTGTTAAATCTCCTTATTTTTAGATGACGGCCACTTCGTTATTTTCGTGAATAGAAATAATTATTTAAACCAATGCCTTCGAATTTAGTTTCCTATCGTTTACCATATTTTACTTTTATTTTATTTCTGATGTTGAATATCGAACCTATTTCTAAACACTCGATCGGATTCATATCAAGATTGATCATACCGATCTGATCGCAAAGTTAGTTATAGTTCCAAAGAACTAGTTCTTAGAAAGGATCTATGAAGCCTACCACTACTGTGTGACAGAGGACTTGAGGGAGAAAAGTTTAGGTGAAGAAGACACGAGCGACAAAAATAAGTGGCCAAATATACTAATTTGAGTATTTTACATCTTTTGGTATATAGTCGACTTCCGCTTCTCCGCTCAGCCGACACATTATTAATCTGAATGAAAACTTATTTTATAAACTAGATCTAATGTATTATTTTTAAACATAACCATAATATTCTATTGCTACCATCTAAAGTGACCATCAAGAAAATATATTTCCTTGAGCACCGCCAATGATCGAATTCAAAATTTCCTAGAATTCATGAAGGGCACGTGATTTCAGATATGTACATTTGACCACTTATGGCGCGTGATTTCGGATAAATAATTTTATTTAATATTTGCCATTTATGATAATTTGAATATTGGTTACAAACTTGCATATACTATATTGTTGTGGTCTTTTTGCACATTTACTTTAGAGTTATTTCCTTAATATCACAATATTTGAT